AAATTTTGATTACGGTCTTATGTCTCCGCGATAGGATTTCCACCAATCGAACTTCATTATATTATAGTTATATAATACATAACACATAACATATAATACATAAAACAGTTATAAAATTAAACGGATCAATTAACACAGCGATTAGGAGTAAATAATTGCAAAAAATATCCACATTTTGTGGATATTTTATTAGTAGTAAATGTCTTTATTAGTAATGTTTGTCTAGCCCCTTAAAAGGCATTGTTGCCATCGCCGATACTTTCAAATAAATTTCTTCTAACAAAGAGCGCTTCATTGAAAGCGAACACTCAACCAAGCAGTTTCCTACTCTTCGGCCATGTTATGTCAATTAAAGGACAAACAAGTTATTACATAAATTTATTTCATAAAGCGAATCCTAGATGTGCCAATGGCTACTCCTCAGATAAGCTGCTTTCGCTCTAGAAATGCACCGCAAGTTCTCCACAATTCCTTCAAATATGCAACCATGGAGTGTTCAAAGAAAGCTAGGTGAAGTGCTAAGTGGACGCCGGTAAATTGGATCATCGCGTTTGCACGTGCTACGGCGAAACGCTCCGCTCAAAGGAGACGTACATAGCTCTGTTTGCTCCCCTATTGATTACGACAACAACGCCACTTGGAACATTATACATTGTATCAGGACTAATTGGAGTTTCAAACGACCTGGAGGTGGTCGTTGCCGCTTCTGCCGCGCTCACTGATTGCGCTTCACGGTCAAACGTACCAATGTTAAGTCAATATCAATTTACATTAACATCTCACCGGTAATGGAAGGCCGTTGCCGTTATTTAACCCATTACGCAATAGGAATAAAATAGATACAAAAGGTTTGTTGGTTATTACTTATATTAATAACCAACCAACATCATTTCTTCCAAATTTGTAGAAAAATGGACAAATAATAATTCGTCGCTACGAGGAATTGAACCAGCGGGATACACGCTCTAGTCTTAAGATAATCCATTTAGCTCCGACACTGAGCTAAATGGATTATCTTAAGACCGAAGAAAATCTCAACGTATTTTTAATTTTATAAATATGAATGTAACTTTGTTTGTTACGCTTCCACGCCAAAACTACTCAACCGATTATCATGAAAGTACACATATTCGTGGAGTTATTAAAAAGGACATAGGATTCTTTTTATTTATCAAAATTGTATTTTAAAAATAGATATTTATTTAAGAGCTTCGATGCGGGCGGAGCCGCGGGCGAAAAGTTAGTATTAATAGGTTGGGGAAAAATTTTCTTCCCATTTTATATGAAAATTCAAAACATTTTTTAATAAAGTTTATTTACATTTAACTAAAGTATGTAGGTGCCATTTTGTTCGATTAATTTCTACCATCTTGTAGGTAGGGACATGATCCCATTGGGGCTCCATTAATTCTGGGGCTCTTGTTAAAAAAACCGCGACAAGTGGTTTTGGCAGTCCTCTCGTGATGTTAACCTGACACTGCCTAAATAATTCTGAAGAGACCGAAACAAGTAGAATAAATATGAAATAGATCTGAAGGTGCAAGGTCAGGACTATACGGCGGATGCATTAACACCTCCCAGTCAAACTCTCTTCACTCTCTCTTCACACTTGCTGAGTGTCTAAAGATGTGTGAGGTTTAGCGCAATCATGATGAAATACCACACCTTCTTGCTTTAATCTCATCAGTTGTTCACAGTAGAGTTCAGAATCAATGGTCCTGCCTGGCGGTACCTTGTCGTACGTGATCCACTTTTCATCACCAGTTATCAGGTTTTTCAAAAATGGTTCGGTTTCATTACGTCGTAATAAAGAATCACAAATGAGTACATGGTTCATTAGGTTTCTTTCAGTGACCCAGCTTTTTTCAAATGCGCCAAAACTGTTTTATGGTCAATTCCCGGTTCTTCAGCTACATCGAAACTACTGATATGCCAATCTTGCTCCACTTTTTCAAAAATGACATCCATTTTATCCGTAACAGGGCGCCCAGAGCGAGGTGCATCTTTGACATCAAAATTTCCGGATTGAAAACGCTTAAACCAAATTTGTGCTACTCTCACAGACACTGCACTAGGTCCATAAATATCACAAATTTTTTTCGCGGCTTGCGTTGCATTTTTACCTTTTTAGTAGTAAAATTTTAAAATGTATCGACTTTCTTCATTATTATCACTCATCTTAACAGTAAGAAAAACAAATGAAAATCACACATTTTCCTAATTTGAATTTGGAATTATCTTTTTTAAAATTAAAACTTTTTAATGATACCAAAACCAGCCAGATACAAATGGTATAGCCAAAGAGATTATATTATAAGTACATACACACTATTTGCGAAAAGAGTTTTTCCCCAACCTAATTTATATATTGTATAATATATAATTTCAACAATGCTATTAAAATTTATATACTTACATTAAAAATATTGTCTTATTTTTAACACCTACGGGTGAATGGAGATGTTTGAAAAGCGTATTCAAAAAAAGACTACTACTAATTTTTATTTGTTTTTTTTTCTTTATAATTTGACACTGCTGAAGAATTTCACAAATAATAGTATCATGTTCCTATTTCTACTAGAGGATTTCTAAAGTGTCTTGATAAATATTTCTCTATTTAACAAGGTTTACGTTTTTCAACATTATGTATGTTTTCATATTTTTAAGGCATTTTAATTTAATTTACGACAAAGCTGCGACAGAGCAAAGTGCAACCAGTTTTCATATTTAGGTCTACTGAACACTGTAACGTGGTTCGCTTGGAATTCCTTCACGTAGATAACGATAAACTGTACATCAGTAGAATAACGTGAAGACAACTCCAAATCACAATCAAGATGTCGTACGTGAGGTTTGAATGGAAACAGACAGAGACGCCTATCGATGTAATTGGCTAATTTTGAAGTAAAACTTATTTACACGCGACTAAGGGGTAACTGAATGCTTTGGACGACGACAATGTAACGGAAACGTATTACGGCGATGATTCTTTATTCGATTTTTAAATATTATCGCTTTATTTATGTAGGTATGTAGGTATGAACTATACATTTAAAATAAAAAAATATAATAATTTATTAATTAATCGAAAAGTTTACGCGCGTGTTAAGGTTACACGCACTCATTTTAAGTGCACACGTCCATAGAACACGGTTTTTTTCAACATAGACGGCACCTATTTCTAGGACCCCATGCGAGAAACAAGCCTAATCGGTTAACGTATACGGAAAGAAATAAACATTTCTGAACAATTTTTACACAACTTCGTCTATCCAACTAAGCAAAGCCTGTGCTATGGTAACTGATAAACATACTTTACTTTTTTATATAAATCACAAGGCCACTTGAAAAACGCTATGTGTATGACACAATATTTTTCCAGTAGAGGGGATCATACTCGCCCTCTCAGGCGTATGAGACCGCTCACTATGAACTAAAGGAATCGGTTCGTCGATGTATGACCTAACCAGGGCGGCCACCGATCTCCATTGTTAGTGTTATCTCACTTAGGCCACGTAATACGATTGCTACGAAAACAAACAATTTTATAAGTAGTCCTTGCACGTCGGGATCGTTTTAGCGGCTGCCGCGCGGACGGTTTGTTTGTTTTCGTTGCAACGCCCAAATGATTACTTTCCGTGAAGCCATCAATACGCTTTTAAAATTGGTTTACGGCGCTGTTACTTCTTTTTTTTTTCTAAACTCGTTTTATATGCTTTGAGAGCGCAAATACGACAAAAGTTACTTTTAAGTTGGGGGGAAACCTAAGATGTTGTTTTGATTTAAAAACTTTCCCTTTTGGATTTCTTTTTAATTAATAAAATGTTAACCTATTAAACGATTGTTGCATCACAGAGTAGAAAGGCTAAAATTGTATAATTTTCGCTTGTTTTATTCGATTTTATGAATGATTAAGAACTTACTTTTTATATATCAGCATTTAGAATAAAACTTATCACTTTCCTGTTTTTATAAGCTCCAATACAATGTGATATTTTGTTGTTTACTAATAATTCTCAGTATTCTGTATGTATAAATGTTAACTACGATGTGGATTGCACGTATTCTGCAGATTCAGTAAACTGCAATCAGATAGAAGTTAAATTCGGGATTACAGAAACAAACTATGGAAATGTACTAAATTGTGAATATACTCATAGGGCCCAAAAATTAAATTGTGAAAAAATTCGTTATTCGCTAAGGACAAACGGTAACAACAGAAAGATTAAAAAATAAATACGAAGACAATCATACTTTCAGGATATATATAAACGGGGGTTTTTATATGTAAAATATGTAACAAGAACGGTACGGTGTACGGTTTGTCTGGGGACACACTAATAAAACAGTACGTTTATGACAAAATTTCAGGAGTGGGAATCGAGCTCACGCCCCTGGCGCAAATGACAAGCCGTATAATCATAAGTCAGTTCTTTGTGATTTGGGAGTAATTTCGTCAATATTAATTAGCTCGTTACGATATTCTGCTCGGTGACTTTGCTTGCGCTCGCTTTTAATTCAATATACTCGAGCAACCTAAGCTCAAATCCCGGTCTCGGCTACACCAATGAAATAGTTAATGTTTAATGCTGACTTATCACACGCTATCTTTGAAGGAAAACATCGTGAGAAAACCTACAAAGTTTTCGAAAAAATGACAAAAAAAGAAATTTCGAAGATATAATGAAGTCCGAACAAATCCACAGTGGGGTCGCATGGCAGACTATGCCCTCTGTACAAATGAAGCCTTTGCCTAGCAGTAGGACATATCTAAGCTATTACCTTACTTTTATTTTCATAGTCAATTTCAGGATTGATCTGCTAAACTAAATCTGTTGTTAAGTCAATTCGACAACAGCTATAATTAAATACCTTGTACAGGTATGCTACCGTATGTATGGTAGCAGTACGTGTGGCGTTCCTTGCGTATTTATGCGACAATGAGCTGGGCGTAATGTGTCCGAATATCGGACGCACAGTTAATAAGCTATCACTTTTAGAGTTGCGCAACCATCATGGAGGGGTTTCTGCACCACATGGCACCGCAGTTCCTGCATCCGGCGCTGCAGAGCTTCGGATGCGGCGCGTTCAGGCCAATCGGTGGCGCTTTCCACCCTCTGTATCCGGGGAAGGCGTTCGCGAGGCACTTGGGCGAACAGTACGCCCTCGGGCAGACTGTTGGACAAGCGCTCAGAGTAAACTACTTCTTTTTTTAAATATGTTTATACTGCTTTTGTAGAATTAAAATGCATTTACTTCCTAATGTTTTCCAACTCCTATAACCCCACCTCAAACGCAAGGTATTCAAAATTTTTGTTGACATAATTTGTATGTGGGACAAGAATAAAAATATCAGTGTCGTAGTAACCAATTATCCAGCGACTCCACCAACCGAGACATCAGACAGGACTAAATCCGTTATAAAGTTAAAATTCACAAATTAGTAGATGAAACCCGTAAGAGATGACATAAATCGATCAATTAAATCTTGATCGAGTTGGACTAAAAATAAGTAACGCTCCTTTCGGGGATTTCATGTCGAGCATGCTTTACCTTAGGGCGTTCGTGACGACACGGGGACCCCACCCCTGTACCGGCATGGGTACATGGCGCGCGATGATACCAGCTCCCCAGGCTCGGCCGCCTCCGCCTCCCCGCGGCCCTGTAAAGACGACGACGCCTCAACTGCTGCCTCTTGCTCCGACTCCCACGACTTCTTTTCCCGTGAGTTGGCATTAACGTAAATAGAAGAGCGATTTAACTTTTACTGTGTGTGTGTGTGTGTGTGTGTGTGTGTGTGTGTGTGTGTGTGTGTGTGTGTGTGTGTGTGTGTGTGTGTGTGTGTGTGTGTGTGTGTGTGTGTGTGTGTGTGTGTGTGTGTGTGTGTGTGTGTGTGTGTGTGTGTGTGTGTGTGTGTGTGTGTGTGTGTGTGTGTGTGTGTGTGTGTGTGTGTGTGTGTGTGTGTGTGTGTGTGTGTGTGTGTGTGTGTGTGTGTGTGTGTGTGTGTGTGTGTGTGTGTGTGTGTGTGTGTGTGTGTGTGTGTGTGTGTGTGTGTGTGTGTGTGTGTGTGTGTGTGTGTGTGTGTGTGTGTGTGTGTGTGTGTGTGTGTGTGTGTGTGTGTGTGTGTGTGTGTGTGTGTGTGTGTGTGTGTGTGTGTGTGTGTGTGTGTGTGTGTGTGTGTGTGTGTGTGTGTGTGTGTGTGTGTGTGTGTGTGTGTGTGTGTGTGTGTGTGTGTGTGTGTGTGTGTGTGTGTGTGTGTGTGTGTGTGTGTGTGTGTGTGTGTGTGTGTGTGTGTGTGTGTGTGTGTGTGTGTGTGTGTGTGTGTGTGTGTGTGTGTGTGTGTGTGTGTGTGTGTGTGTGTGTGTGTGTGTGTGTGTGTGTGTGTGTGTGTGTGTGTGTGTGTGTGTGTGTGTGTGTGTGTGTGTGTGTGTGTGTGTGAGTGTGCGTGCGTGCATGCCTGCGTGAGTGCGCGCATGCGTGCTTGCGTGCGTGCGTGCGTGCCTGCGTGTGTGTGTGTGCGTCCGATGGATTGACAGCATTAGCCCAATTGTGTTATGAATGAACATCATGATACCCACGTCAAATTGTTTTCCACATCCCGGGAAAATCAACCAGAAGATATTTCAAATATTGTGCATCATATTAATTTTCATGAACGAAACGTATTCCATTAGAGACAATGGAAATATCTATTCGGTGCTTAATACAAGTTTCATCTCAGTTAGTAGGTACTTACGTTATGCTAATGTCATAACAAATAGTATGTTCGTATATATATATATATATATATATATATATGTATATGAATGATATTCGCGCCTGTGCCTATATAACAGAAAAAGTTATAAGAGATGTCAAAGAGAAGCCCCTCAATACGCTGCCTCTTCTGCATTTTTTAACATGGGAGACCTTTTAAAAGCTGATGGAGAACGTAAGACATCGTGCGGCGTCTGCGGTGCTCGTTTGGGCCCCGGTGTGGCGCAAGCACATTTCCTGCAAGAATTGCAGCATTTGTACAGCCTCAGCGCCCTTCCGAGGGATGCGGGCGCTCCCTCCACGCACTCCCTGCACCATCAAGATGAAGACGCGCGCTGGGAGGTTGGAATTCTTTTTCATAGAACCCTCTTTGACACATGAAACCCCTATCAATGCCCCTGCCAATTAAATCAATGAACTACCAACATAGCGTGATTTTTCAGTTTCGTTATGCCTCCCGACATCATTTCGCTGGCTTTAAATATGCTCTTATAAATATTAAAGTACTTTTGTAATACCTATGTTTATTTACTTAATCTAAGTATAAAACATAAATTAAATCTTAATAGAATTAGAAGAAACCACATCGCATTTTTAACGTGATGATTACCTAATTAATTAACAAATATAAATATTAAAAAAAAACATATGTAGTTATTCTGTTAAATGTAAAGGTAACAAAAGCGTTTTTTACCTTTTACAGTTGTAAAAATTTTGTTTTCCGAGTTTGTGTTCTTTATTATTATGATGGGTATATTCGCATAGGTATATCTTATACCTTGATACTGCGCCATAGAATGAAGCGACGCTCTCTCAACATACACCCATATAACCAATTAACCATTGCGCGTTAGTTACAAACTATGGATATTGTGTATATACTGCACGGCGGCCGTATTTCGGGTACAACACTTAGAACGGGTTTCCCCAGACGTACCAGCGCATCCGCGCCAACCGCCAACGGCGGCTGAAGTTGCGCACGCGCAAGCGCCACCACACCGTGGAGAGCATGCTCGGCTACGAGCTGGACGAAGAGCGGCGTGAAGAGCGCCCTCGCGAGCCCCGCTACGACGCCGAGGACGAGCCCGTAGACGTCGAGGGGGACTCCCTCGGCTGGCCGGAGGCCGCCATCAGCGTTGACGGTAACGACCGCCAATGAAGAACGAACTCGGCCGACGTGACGACGTAGATCAACTACGTCCTTGAGTTGAATAGCATATTCTAAATTGATCCCTCTGATATCTAGCGACGCATAAACCCTCAACCCTCTGATAGTCGATTCCCTCGGCTGACCGGAGGTGACCACCGCGAATGACAAATAAACTAACTAGGTTAATGTGACAATAAAAAAAATGTAGATCACGAACGTGTATTAATTGTATAGAGCGGGTTGTGCCCTTTCAATTCGTGACAAGCGCGCTGTATAACAAAATCATATTTACATACGCGGTTTTTAATAATAATAGCGTTAAGAAACGCGCTAATGCTATTTCAATTGCAGACAAGGATCAACGGAGTGATGGAGATAAACTCCACTTAAGCTATACGGAGGACTTGGAGATATCCAGCACTAACGATGCCATGCAGTCACCCGAACGCGTGAGGTATTTTCTATCTATTAAAACACGATGTTCCATCGCTCCATCCAAAACCCAACCTTAACTATTTATAGATTCCAATCTTAATTATACATCGATATTCGGGGTGAAAACTTTGGCTCTCTTTTTTTAAGAATATTTTCTCACGCAGAAAAGTGTGAGATTTGGCCGAGTTCCTATTTATATAGTAAGTGCAATATAAGCTTACGCCAATCAACGCTGTAAAACTACTAAAAATTTATACAACATGTGTCTTACCATAATAATTGTAAACACATAATAATATGTCAATCAGTACAGATTGTAAAAAAAACAATAAATCATAAAATTCTTTCAATTACAGTTTTCTTTATTAACTTTCCGTTTGTATTTTATGTTTTCTATATTGATGGCACTGATGCCCGTAAATTTGTTTTAAACAGGATTTTTTGCGTTTCTTTTGTCTAGATCTCATCTCATTTTTTTATTACTTTGAACAATCCCGGAAGGGAAATGTTGCTTCTGGTGGCGACCGCAAGACTGTACTGGGATGACGAACGATCGACATTAATTCAAATTCTGAACAGGATTGAGACGCCGAAGCCGCTGCCGCTGGATTGCGGCAAGCCGGAGGCGGCCGAGCGCCCCGCCGAGGTGTCCACCTCGGAGTGGGCCCCCACAGACTGGTCCGCCCTGCCCGACGCCTACCTCCACGCCCGCCACAAGCCCGACGGCGAGAACCTGCCCTCTTCCACCGACACCCGCAACTAGGTCCCAAACGCGCCCGCAAGCGATTCGTGGATTCCCCGAATCGTATTTCAATTTCACTCGTGTACCCCAGTTCCCCTCGTTTTCGCACGTTTTTCAATAAAGCTATATGTCTTCGCAAACCGTTTATCTAAAATATTTCAGTACTTTGAGTAATGCTGTACCGCGAGTTCGATCACATTGCATGATTTGATCGATGTATTAAGGTATGCCATATTGCAATTTTAAATAATGTCGTTTCTTGTTCCACTATTAATAGGTTCAACGTTCACTTTATCTCAAGATAGTAGAAAATTATGTCTTAACATTTCGGAATAATAGTAATACTCTTGCGTGTTGAAACATTTAGATTGTATAAACGTTATTTAATATTGCTATTCAGCGTATGTCTGTATATCATTATTCATTAATAAATTTCATAGCCTAACTCTGCCTTTCGTCACAACTGTTCAAAAACTATTTTGAGATCTAATCGATTTTAAACGTGCAAGTTTAGATGTTAGGATTTACAACGTAGTATGCATTTTTGAGATGTATTAATTTTTTTTTTCATTTTTAAATACTTAATTTTTCCCGTGGTATCTAAACATATACTACAACTCGAATAATCACGTTATTCTTTTTAACCAGGCGTTTCTTATTATCAGACTTATTTGCCGATGTATAAAACAGATTTCGAGCAAAGTACATCCAAAATTCATTTTACATACAAATTTCACTCGCCAGTCCACGTAAAGCGGGTTCACTTCGATTTAACTGGATTATATTTTTCCCTCGAGTATTATTCAAGTATTATTTTGTAGGAAGAATTAAAACTTTAAAATGAAAAATCGATTTGAATGCAATTTAATTCTTAATCGATTGACCTGTAGATGAATAAAAATGGTTATCTAGTTAAAAATAGTTTTAAGTTTATCGCTGTAATACTAAAGTAGCGTTAAGTTTTTATGTATCTCGTGGTTTCTTGTTGATGTTTTAACTTGATGTGTAAATAAAACTTCTCTACGTTAGTTTCAAATTAAAATGTATAGTATTATGTCGAACTATTAACATCTGATTTATCTCAACATTAAAATGCATAATATATAGGATACAGATATGTTAACTCAATTAATGTTTTAATATGCATGCCTAGATGTTAATTCACAATGCTTATAGTAGACAAGTTTTATTAGCCATGATATTTGGAATATCCATTTAAATAATCCTTCAATAAAAGAACGACATAATGTAACCGAAGACGTTTTTATTGGTCATTACTATTACAAATGCTATTAGATTCTTACATATAATCGATAACCATTAATTTACATTAATACAACAATTTCTTGCAATCAGTGTATTGATGAAAGTCAGAGCTGGTACTATAGCATTATGACTTGGGTTATGTATGTGAAGTAGGCAAGTCTGAAAATTGAATTAAAGTGAACCCAGAAGCTCCGGGAAAGAGGATAGATGTATTCACGAACGACAACTCTATTACGTATGATATGAAGAAGAGATTAAATAAAAGTAACATTTTAATTAATTAGTAATAAATGCAGCAAGAGTTGATAAAATTAAATGTTGAAATTAAAGTAGCATAAGATTAAAACAACAATTTAAATGTCAGTCACTTCTTAAAAAAACAGTCTCTGTCCTACACCGCTAAAGCGCGCACTTGAAATAACAAATACACAAAAATTCACAATACGAAACATACTACTAATTTCGAAGTTTTACTGGTCGTTTTCATTAGTGTAAGGCGTCACCCGCGTTCAACTTATACGTAGATTGACGATAACCTTCATCGGCTACTGATGTGGATGCCCGCAATGTCGAAGATACTGTCCCAGCGCCGTTCTCGTATTCATGCACCACCTGACCGCACAAGAACGATACATTAAAATCTTTCTTGGAATTGTAATTTTAAGATACAACCTCATTGCACTCTTCTTCTTTTTCCTGCCCGTATCCCCAAGGTGCTGTTCCAGATCATATCATTTCAATGGTATTTTCTAGGTCTTTTACGAACGCCTGCTCTGCTCGCCTGCCTCACTTCAACCCTTCGTTGAGAATAAACTGTTTTTCATACCAGTGTTTCATATGATGAACCCACGATCCCAGGTGCCGACAAATAGCTATGCTGCGCTACCAATCTCTCTCTCTCTTTCCAAATAATAGTTTTGCACTATGCCACGGGTCGTCGAAAGTTGAAAGCAATAATTTTAATTAAACCTGCCAAGAGATTATTGCAAAGGAAGCATTAAGGAAAGACCGGCCATTTGTTAGAGGATAAAACGGTTTTGTCCAGAATCAATATAACAATCAATATATTCTATACTGTAGACCAAAATACATGATACGAAATAGTGCAAAATTGTACAATAGGCTGTCTTATAGTGAGCAATTAATTCCAGACAACCATTGTAATCCGAATTATTTTAATTAATAAGTAGAGAAGAGAGCAGAGGGAGGGAAAGAACAGGAGTTTGGATCCCTCCAAATTAAGAGAATTATATTCTGTAACATAATGAATGGCTCACCTTCCGTATATGCTCCTCCTTTAATGCCAGCTCGCGTTGCAAGTCATCGCGGCGTCGACCAAGGTTCGGCTCGTAGCCATTGGTTTTTAAAGATTTCTCTATCTCCTCATATTCTCGATACAGATTTGCATACTCAGCCAAACTCTGCCTTGCCGCTTGACCGCCACCCTTAGAAGTCCCGTCAACGTCCTCAAGATTTGTCACTAGACTGCTTAAAACAAAATTGCATTATTACTTTATAGAACTATTATTTAAAAATAAGTGTACATTATTTTCGTGGAAAATTAATATTTATGTAGACGCTGAAGATTAAATTTAAAATACTAACGACAGAACATAGACGTAGGACGAACGTGAAGGATACTGTCACGGCTGTTGAGATGGGATTATTTCTATCAAAATTTAACTTTTCTTAATACCTTTATGCGACTGCTTATATGTTATAATATGTTACAAGCAGTCGCATATCTTCACTCGTTAGAAATGTCCGTAACGTAAATATAAACAAAACTTTAGAGATCAGTTCAATCACCTTTCAACCAAATTTCAAAAAATTCAATCACCACCAAATGAAAAGTTTAAACATTGAAAATACCTAATTAACTTTTTATGATTGGTACCGACTAGCGTTTGACCTTATAGTGAGCGATGGTGCATTTTGATCGTAATAACACTAGATCAATAAAACATTGATCTCACTCACCTTCCCTTGCTCAACTCACTAACGCTTGCCTTAAAGACCATATTGCTATCAAGCGGATTGCCTGCTAGAAAGACGGCAGGCAAAAGGTTATGGCACGCAGCAGTAGAGACGGTAGCGCTGAACAATATCCATTTTGAAAATGCGTGATCCATTTATTTAATTTTTGTTTGAAAATAACACAATTTTTTCGTAGCGGCATGGATGAGAGTAGGAAGGGGCAGCGTCGAGGGCACTGCACACACGGCCACAGTCCATACGTGTGAGATGAAACCATACAAACCCACTGCTGGCCGAGTCAGCAGCTAGTTTGCGCCGAGCCTAATTGCATCCACGAGGGTGACTACACTATTAATGTAACAAAGATTGGTGAACTCACTTGTACATAGAAGTGTAAAAGTAGTGCGGTCGGCTGATGGCACGGAGGAACCTCGGCACCATGCCGTCCCCTTCGCGGAATAGATTCAGCAGGCGACTGTACGACATGTACTTGTACATTGGGAGCCGCAATAGACGACTGCCCAGCCTGATCGAGTTGATGTCCCGGCTTTCCAGCATTGATGTCTGATTATTAAAAAGCGACTCAGAAAGCTTCATAAAATTGTATTTTTGATTAGACTATATAAACCTTCATCGACCACAGAGCTCGAGATATCTCAGCAGTCACGCATGTGAACATTGGGCGTTAACACAATTTTTGTCCGATTGATGAATCACACGGGACACTGGTGCGGGCGATGCGTTAATAACAAAAGTAGATATATACTTCAAAAAAATAAAGATACCGGAACTAAATTGTTATTGACATTATACCGAAGACGGCGGGGTTTCAAAGAAACTGTTACTAGATGAGCAAAATAGTTTTCAATAAATTTCCTAACTCAATAAAAAGTCAACCATATCTTACATTAAAATAGAATCTTAGTCAATAGCTTCTAAAACACACTATCCATTCGGTTAAGGATCAAAAAGACTACAAAGAGGAGAAATCAAGCTTGTTATCGATATAAAAGCGTATAAAATAAAGAAAAATGCATCGAAACGTAAATAATATTATTTTAAGTAAAGGTTGGTTGGTTGTTCTTTGCTTTGGAGTATTAGCGTTTTCCAGTGTCGGACTTTACAAAGCCGTCATTGCCGTCAATTGTGATCTTACATCCGCACTGATATTTATGAAATAAATTAACTTACCGCGTGGGCACTTTTCGTGCTTTGTGTGGGAATGTGGCCCAAACCTTAAAAAAAAGGGGGAAATATTAATTTAAAAGTGCATGGATTTAAAAAAACTTTATTTTTTCTAAAATCATTGCAATCATTTAAATATTTTTATCGACGTCCTTTATTCAGCTTGCTTTAAGTAAAATATTGATATCACAGCCGAGCCCAGTGAATACAGTGTTTTTAGTAGTTTCCTTTTTTGTAAATTTTGTTATAAATATACATTATTACTTACCCATGTGGTGTGCTATAGTCATAGGTATACCCGTCAAAGGCTGTTGAGTTTTTAGACCATTTAGGACCTGTGGGACAATACATGAGAAGGTAATTAAAAATATATTCTATTGAAATGGCGCATACAGGCTACGATCAACACGATATCTAAATGTGACAAGAATAAACGAACGAAACACAGATTTAAACATATTAGCTAAGGATATGCAAGACTTGATTTTATGAAGCCAGCGCACAATGCTATTGAGAAACCGCGACAAAACTATGCCTCTAGAGTTTATCAGTGTTTTTTTTAATAATTTTTAATATTGAATGAAAAAAACCATACAATACATTAACATAAAACACAACTCAATCAGATAATGTTTACAGAACGTTCTGTAGTTAAACCGCCAATGCCCAGTGAATTGCCACGCGTTGCCTTATAATAAAAAAGGAACGATTAAAAAGAGAATAGCAACATTGCGCCGGCTTCTCATTCGACCCAGACAAAAACCGGGTTGAACATTCCAAACGTCCATAGGTGGCGCACTCGCCTTCGCAAACCAAAAGTGAAGCTACCTGCTGTATGTTCACGCCGATGTTGTGCGACGGGGCGGTGCTCTTGCTGACGATGAAGGGGATGTTCGTGGTGTTGGTGGTGGCGGCGTAAAGGCGAGCAGCGTTCCGCTTCATGCGCGACGCGACCGTCGGCAGCTCGTAGTTCCGGCGCACGGGATATCGTATACGTCGCGCGGGCCGCTGCACCTCCGCCTAACAGCACCCTTACAGGTGTTACGGTAGAGGTACTACGCAGCTTCTACCGCTGCACGGATAGCACGGCGGCGGTAGAAGAGGTAGAGGCAGGTGATCGGCGAATTGAGAGATTCTATGTTAGAATGTGGCAACCGGCCGGCGGCACCTAGCATCCGCAACACCAGTATTTGTTTTTCAGTTATTAATTACAAATTCATCGTCAGAAAATTGTTGTAGTGGTGCTGTAATGAGTAAAAGCTTGAAGGAATTCAATAAAAATATAGATGTACCGAGTTATATTATATATATTTATAGATAAATATATATACAAACCTCTTGTTGTTCTTCCATCGGCGTACAGTCCTCCAAAGATCTAGTAGGCTCATCTAACAACAGCGTATCACGAACTAACAAAAACATAGAGCAAAGTAAATCGCTGACACCATGAATCGAAACAAAGTAATTTAATTGGACAATGAATAAAGCACACCTTTTTTCTGTCCACCATAACTCTCTTGTGTATGTATATTTCCTTGCCATGAATCCTGCGAGGAACCACCGCGATTCTTATTAAATAATTCGACAACAGCCCGATCGGCATTTTGCTCCCTTTGATTCACTGTGACCCAATAAAATAAACATCATTATTATCTAAATTGGTTATACACATTAATTTATTTTAATATGGTAATTATTAATAGGTAAAATAATGAACTGCCTTCTTATATGTATATGTTCTGCTGATTGGAGAAGGTGAAGGTGGCGACGACGGACGACATAATAAACATACTAAAACTCTCGATAATATTTTTAATCTATAGATACTTATTTTGGCAAGTTTGGAAAAAATATTACCATGAAGGTGGTTGCGAAAAGCGAAACCAACTTCAATGTTATGAGGATATAGATAGACGCAACATATAATATACAAAGTTTTATATAAGTATTTTTAAAAAATGCAATAAATAGTTTTTCCCGTTATCCTTATCAAGACCTTCAGGATTAGTTATTTTCCAAATCCTATATCCGGTAGTGCCCTTGTGCCAAGTAAGCATTTAAAAAAAGTTTAAAAAAGAAAAAGGGCAAACAGGCTTTTGTACTTAGCCGAACTAAGAAATTTAAAATAAATAACAGTATAAAAAGAAACTAAAACACAAGCTTTTGTAGATAACTAAAGTAAAAAATTATTTTCAATAAATTTCAGTTATGACTATGAACAAAAAAAAATTATTACAGAAAATCGTGGGGTGCTTTTAAGATATTTCCATTATGACTTTTACCGAAAAACTGTATAAATACTCTCATTAAAATTTTATGACAATTGACTCTAAGCACCCCACGCTTATGTACAATATTTTTTTTCTCCTAATCGCACTATTTATCATTTAAACTTATTGACAATTATTTTCTACTTTTTACTTCGGTTATCACAAAAGCGGGTTTTTTAGTTTTTTTTTAAACTCTTATTTATTTCGTATACCTTATAATTTATCATTTTATTTATAACTGCTTTTTTTTCTAAATATTATTTTGAAATGAAAAATTACCTGAAAAGCCTAAATAAGTAAGCTACCAATAAGCTATATTTTATCTACCACGACCTCACAGATGACCGGCGTAAAGGAGAAGTATAATACTTTCGCGTTTGTAATGTTTCGTCTGGTGAGTGGGGTGGCCGGAGTGCAATTTTCAAAAGTTTGTCTAAGCATCTGGAACCTTTGGGTGTAGCAGATGTCCATGGGCGGCGGTATTCACTTAACATCAGGTGAACCGTCTACTTACATAAAACTTTTCACATAAAAAATATATTTTAGGTATCTACTTATAAACTATAGATGGCTTAGTATACTCTTAAGTTACACACACCTACAAAGGTATTTCTCGTTTATAACTAGTACAATAAAGTAATTAATAATTATATGAAAATACACGTTTATAGCAAACGATAACGAGATAAATGGTCCTTTAAAAATGAATTTTGGAGGCAGGCAATACAAGTTCATATTTATTATCGAAAGATAAAACCGACTTCAAATATCTCGCTCTTTATTAATTTTATAATTGGTTTTCAGGACTTCTCCGCAGCCCAAGATCCAATACCAATGAACTTAATATGGGACCATATGGGAAGCACCAGCTTTCAAATAAAAAAAGAATCATCTAAATAGGTTCACTTTTTTGAAATCGGTTGATAAAATATCGGGATCTCTTTTACCAAGCCTCTTTTAGTTTCCTATGATATATCATTCAAAAACAAACGTACTTTGTTGCTGCTGGTGCTGTAGCCTACTTAATGTTTGTTGCCGTCTCCGAGGATCTGGTAGATTATCGCGCATTCCTCCATCTGAAAATGTACTGTAGATGTATAATATATTCTAAAAATAATTTATGCAAAATAATAATAACTTCATCATCGTAGTATCTCTTTATATCTTATCTTTTTGCATGCGCTTGTTGTTATATGGATATTATTTAGTTAAACTCCTTCGCGGACTTTATCACGTAGAATTTTTTTTTTAAATCTCTAACCTTTCTAATACTTAGACATGGTTGCTGTGTAAATCTTCGAAACGTCGAGAATTAAAAACTTTACATAAATCATCAGTCATAAAAGCCATTAAGTAAATAATTTTGTTCGTGTAAAAAAACACCATTATATTTTGCACACAAACGAAGCAAGAAAAAAGCAGATTTTTCGAATAATAACTACTGTCCAATTTCAAGTTCGTTTATCTATTACATATATTTATATATCACTCTATTTTATCATACTATACATACTTTTGCTATAACGCGATATATATTTTTTTGTCTATAACGCGTGTGTCACAGATTATCTTTATTTTTCGATTATCTTCTACCTTTTATCTCGAAGAGTAGATACCACCTGCAACATTCCATTTACCTTCTTTTGAAAGAGTTTTTGGGACGCGTTTCCACTGCCCGATCTTCCCTTGCAATGTTGGCCGCTTCCTTTCGGAGTTCATCTTGTTTCTAATTCTTGGACTAGTAAAAATAAAATATTTGAGATGCGCTTTTTTTGGGTTAAAAAGTTAAAGAGGCAATTTACTCGTTCTTCAAAATCATCTTAGTTGTAGCTTTTCATCTTTGAACCCGTGACGGTTATATCGATGCCTAATCATATTTCGGATTGCATTATGTCATTTTCTTGGAATTTTGCCCGATTTATTTAGATGAATAATTTCCCCACATAGATAGTCTATTCTAAAAATTATAATGGCCATGTGTTGATGTATTGTACCCCAGATTGAAAATCATTTTCTCACATTTTCATTGGGCACAAACCATTTCAAAAATTAAGCGAGAAATGCTTTTTTGTAGTTATTAGGTTCATCGAGATAATATAATGTTGTATTGAACACGACTTTTAGATAAATTTCACGAAAGATTGACTTCTCTGATTTATTATTTCAGCGATTAAAAACTCGCCCTTCGCTATATTTATTCAAGTATTACTGTTATTCTTATAACTCACGCTCGCTGCTGCTCAAAACGTCCATCGTCCGAACACTCTTCAGTTACCACACCGCCACGCGTTGCATCCCCACTGTTGTGTGTAGTAATTTGCACCCCTTGCCCACACGTACCTTTATGAAAGATACAGGTACAAAAAATTCGTTGTGTAATATTTATTCTATATACCGAGTTTTATTGGTGTATCAAAAGCTCATGGACATTAGACATTATTAATATGACATAGAACATCTCTTACCGTCACCGCATGCCCGACCACTACGTGCACGTGGCATCTGACGATTCACTCTCAGGTTAGAGTTCATTTCAGCGTCCTACGCATAAAAAAATCTTTGATCAATTCAGTTGTAGGTTGAGCTTTTCCAACAGAAAAATCATTAGAATATATTTAAATACACCATTGTCTAAATCTCTCAGAAACTTTTACTGACAACATATTTATCTCGTCAGTAAAAATCGGCTAGAATAGATTGGCCTCTTATCCTAGACATAGGACACTTATTTGATGATTTATTAAATCCAAAGACTTACTCGTACCGTACGCCTCTTCAATCGGTGTTTAATATACACACTTATTTTCAAAACAGACATTATAAAATATCTGCAAGACTATTTAAAAAAAAGAAAATTCATTCGAAACAACATTTCTGGCAATGGTTATTCAAAGTCAAATTCAAAGTAAATTTATTCAATATAGACTTAACAAGCTCTTATTGAACGTCAACAAAAAATCTACCACCGGTTCACTAAACTAGACCTGCACGGAGAACCGGCAAAAAACTCTGCGGTCTTGTTCTTTTTGTTATTATTTTTTTGACGCAATTATACAAACTTATTTAGGTATAAAATCAGCAGCAGCCAGGGGTTTTGCAAGTGCAGAGCAAGAGTCATTTCCACACATCCCTGTCCTCAATGTATTCTTGGACATTATAGTAGGCCCTTGCCATTAAGGTAGCTTTTACAAATTGTTTAAAATTGTTTAAAATTAAACAGAACCTAAATATTAAAGCCATCGACGTAGTGTACAAACACAAAGAAAGGGAAAAATGCATCATTTATTTCACATTGTTTAAAATATCAATTATATAGAAACATACCTTACTGATCATTCTATGTTGTTCTAACCTGGCAGGGTCCAAATGACCCCGGATCGGAATTGAAGGAGTATCCAAACGCCGCAGTCGTGTAGCCTGCTGTGAGACTTCTGTAACATACAGAGCTAGGCCCGTTTCTTTGACGATTTTTGGTATGTTATGTAAAACACATTTTCACAGATCAAAACGCATAGTTACATTAATGTTTGTCCCAAGATTATAGTTTAAAATTTATTTGTTTATTTATTGAATGCGTGAAGTTATTTACTAAAATAAAACTTACTAGTTTTTGGTTGCGTTCGGACAGAAATGAATGGTACATTTTCCACTGATTCTTGGGGTTCAGTGACACGAGTGGTACTTAAAAGAATAGATTCGTATAATTAATAAATTAGTAGTATTTAACAAATTATATTTTAAATAAAACAAAATATTTCAATGCCCAATTGATATTACTTATTTAACGTTACCTTCTCCTCTTTAATTTTCTTTTCCTCTTTAAAATTTTTACTAAATCAATTTTCTCCTGTAAATCTTCACATCGCGCTTCTGCAATTGCGAACTGATCATCGCCTTCGGGTATTGACGCTGTGATTTAAAATTAACATAACTGATAACCAATTCTTATAAAAATATGTTATATTTGAGTATTTAGCCTTTGGGCCGTTTCAAGGAGAAAATTTATACAAAAAAATTACAACATTACGTCTCGTTTTTCAAGCTTGAAATTTTATTCGATAGAGAAATGTCAATAATGATATAATGTATAAATGAAAATCCATGAAAGCCACTAGATTAAGTGAAAAAAAAATATATACAACGTGTCCTTACAACCGCGACAATAAATGAACACACATCTAACGCTACTTGCCAATAATCATAAAAAAATACAAAATTAAAAAAAAATTAAGAAAAATTAATTTTCAAACAAACTTATTAAAGAAAAAAGAAACAAAATTTGTAACATCCTATACAGCTAAAACTGACTGATCATAAATTCAGAGACTTTTTC